CATTCACACAGAGAAACCGGAGCTGTGCATACAAAAGAGAATCACTCAACCACTTTTATTATCATGTTAACAATTTGTTGATTTTTGATGAATTAGTTTTGCTTGTTTGCCTGTTTCTCTAATTGCTTATATTTCTTTTATTCATTTAGAACTCTTATGTAATTTCGGATTCTCTACTTTGCTAATAAATAGTATAAATGGTAAAAATTAATAACTTGTTAGAATGTTATAATGTGGATTGAAATACATTTTAACGTTATTTATTATCCTCTGATTTGACTGACTGGTGGTAATAATATCTCCCATATTTCTGGTATTTGCATTGAGTCATTTCTGTTGCATGTGTTGGGATTTGGTAATCAAACTCTCTCTTCACCTACCTATATTACTTTTTAAATTTTTGACCCTGTCACACTAACACCATTGTGTGGTTGAGTGTTGATGCATGCCGTGTAATCACTGAGCTTTTTTTCTAAATTACTTATCTTTGCGGGGTCTATCATTTCCACCTTAGCTAAGCCAACACATGTAACAGAAGTGACTCAACTCAAATACCAGAGATATGGAAGATAATAAGTGGATAACGCTTTGGTGTTTGAAACTATGGGCACTGGGTTCGAGCCTCTATGGGAACATCATCACTCACTGAGCAATGCAGGTACATCAAGATGACGAGTCCGAAATAGGACGAAATTTCGCATCCTGGATTCCACTGCTAGTCACCATTCGCCATTTATGGATGATATCATTACCATTCAAATCAATTCAACTGACATTATAACATCCTAACAAGTTATTTATTTTACTACAAAAACATCTTATTTCCTATCTGATTGTATTTGATTGATAACACTCATATTATTATTTCTGAATGTACTTTATCATCTTATATTGATTTGACTCAAATGTCTAATCATCAACTTTTTACTCAGGTATGCAATTGAAGCAAACATGTTGTGTGAGTGCATTGAAATGATTATGGGAAGTAATAAATTGTGCTCGAAACGTGGTCATCAGTTAATATTACTGTAGAACACTGTGTGATTTTATCAAAATAAAGCCTTATCCATAATGGAGTTGTACTCTACCACCACAGTGCCCAAGTTTTATCCTTACATCAACCTTGGAAGTTTATTAACACTGCACATGTGTGCATGTTGCGATCTAAAGACACACAACCGGAAGATTAAAACACCAAGAAAGAGCGGATAAAAGTAGAAGGTGCAGCATTCTGGATGAAAATTTGAGTAGTCCAGTGGTTTAAGCAGGCCGCCAAAAGTAACACAGACTAACGTATAGGAGAAGAGTCTCAATCATAGATCATCATAAACTACACACCATAAAATTTTGACAATATTTATCCAAATAATTCAATTCTGCAATTGTCTTTCTAGTTTTCTTTCCCACATTTTAGAAGAAATATGTCACTCATCTGTTTCATCATTATTTTGACCTGGTTAACGGTAAACTGCTGATTTGATTCTCAACTGATTACTGTTTACTTTAATTAATAATCGAAACCAGTTTTTGGTCATACTACTTAAATCTTGTGTGTGTGAATGTGTTCCTCTTAATTAGATTTTGTATATTCGTCTTGTTTTTTTGTCCTAGTAATAGATTGAAATTATTTTTGAGGATAATTGTGAGAAGAATAAGGATGCAAATTAATTCAGATGATATGAGTTGATGTCTTTTTATTACTGGTTGATTGATGTAAGAATTTAGATGGTACTTTCACCAACTAGTAGTGTTTACTAGCCTGATCAAATTTTGATGGAAGCGCCAGACTCCCATTTGACTTGTTTGGAGCCGAGGGCATCAGCAGCTTACATGGTGTAACTCAATTCAAAGAGGTAGATCAGCTGGAACCATTCAAATTCCAGCTACCTAACTACGTAGATGAATTGCTAATAGATTGAAGCGAAATGGCAAATTGCAGGTTAAGAAGACTCCAGAAGATCTGGATTTCGCCGGTGGTTTATGTCTAGTCGAAGACTTGCAGGCGAAGAACAATAAACTCGCTGAAGAGGTTGGCTGGCAGAGAAGACAGGACTCCAGGTGAACATAGAGAAGATGGAGGTGATGAAGTCAACCAGCCGACCAACAACAACAGCAAACAGCACCAGTCACCATCAACAGGAGAAAATTGACAGAGGTTACTTCCTTCACTTATCTAGGAAGCATTGTTTAAACCACAGGTGACTGCATGGATGAAGATGTCAAGGCGAGTCAGAATCGGAAAGGCGAGATACGCCTCCATGAACCTGAAACCAGTTTAGAAATCTTCTGCACTTACTCCGCATAAGGAACGAGATTCCGGTTCAACACAAATGTTTGGTCATTGAGTCACTTCTAAATGGGTCAGAAACTTGCACTGCGCACACATCACGAGGAGCATTTCCAGCAGGTTGCTGTAGACTTTTATCAGCAGCTGTCTTCTGTGGCTCCATAATGAAGATGAAATGGCTGGCCACACAGAAAGAATTAGGAACAAGAAACTATGGAAACAAACAGACAAACAAAGAACCTATTACTCAACAAATATTTAGAAGAAAATGCAGATGGGTAGGAAACATAATAAGGGTATCGTCGAATGACATCACGCGCCAGGCCCTCGAGTGGCGCCCAAAAAGTTAGCGACGAGTGGGTCGTCCGGCGGTGACATGAAGGAGATCGTGTGAGGACGGGATGAGAGATTGTGGGTAATAGTGGGGCCAGTTTAAGAAGTCATATATTCCACTTGGAAATGAAGGAAATAATAATAATATAAAGTTGATTCACGTCAAACTGTATAAAATGCGACTGGGAGATTCTATTATCGTTGGGATTCTATGCATCATAACAGATCGTTGTACATTTTAAAGTTGTTTCATGTAATCATCTCTGAAGACTATGAAAAGTTACTGTTATTATTTTCCTGGTTTCTGAGTGGAACATAGGGCTTCTACAGCATATCCCCATTTCAACCTGTTCTTTGAAGTCCTTTAAAGTTTCCTACACGATTACTCATGAGCTCTCGTTTCCTCTTTACATTATCTCTTCCAATTCAATGTCGGAAGCCCGACTCGTCGTTTAGCATTAAGGTTCCACTCAAGGATCTTTCTAGGGTGTAACATCACTTAACCGTCTCCTGAATGTGTATGTCCTACCCATCTCCATTTTTTTAGGCATATTTGTTGAGCTATAGGCTCTTGTTTGTTACTAGAGTCACTATACCTGCAATGGACTTGAATATTTGAGGCTTAATATCTCTTTTTCCCGCTTTCCTACCGTTGCACTCCTACTCTTTACGACACTGATCTTAAGTCAATCCTCCTTCAGTCTTAGTTGACCTCTACTCATTCCTATCAATCACGTCATAATTATTTTCTTGGATTCTAAATGAAACATGGGGCCTCAGTAGGACATCTTTATTTCACTCTCAGTTATTTCTAGCTGGCTAGCTATACGACTGCCTACAATCTTTCTAATTCTCCTCACATAATCTCCTCGTTTCCACCTCTGTCTCGTCAGTTCTTATTCGCCTAGCGCTCGATGGTCTAACTGGAGTATGATGTCATCTAACCGTCTCCTCAGAGTATCTTCCGTTCATCTCTATATCTTTCTACCTGTTCGTTTGGTAGTAAGTTCTTAGTTGATTCGTCATCAGAATTCCTTGTTGCTTATCCTTTCTGGCCGGTCATCTGGTCTTTGGCATACAAAAAAGACAATCGTTGATAGAAGTCTACAGCCAGGTGAAAATGCCTTTTGCTACGCGTCCGACAAGTCTCTGAACCAGTATAAAAGCACTGACTTCGCATTGGTGTTGAAAATTCTCATCTTGTTCCTTAACTTGAATAAGGTAGACCTTCACATAAATAAAGCTGTGTCTTGTCTTTTCAATCCCGCCTAGCTGGCTTTGATATCCTTCTCGTTAGTGTAGTTGAAACGATTTTGCCTATCCCGGCAAGTGGAAAAGGTCAATTTTATCACATCAACCAACCTACTTATTCAATTTTAATTCTAGATTTTATTCAATTAATACTTTCTGTTAGTATTAGATGGTTTGAGGCAATCAGCCAAAGGAAGGCTTGCCTGACCTTGGTTTCCGGTTAGTTGGAACTCGCCAGTCAGCCAGCCAGGCTTATCTGCAACTACCTTGAAGGAACTCATGTCCCTTATTAGATTCGAACCTGCGTCACCCAGTGAGTGATACAGTCAGAGACTCTACCAACACTGAGTTATTCGGGCTAACGATTAACCTTCTGTAGGACTGCATTGGTTGCAGATATTCCTTGGTGATGAGTGCCAACTAGCACGAAACTGAGGTCCTAGGCTTCCTGCTGATTGCCTCCAACTATCTAATACCAACAATTCACAGAGCACTGTGTTGGCGAGCCACCTAGTGGCATGGTAGACAGATTGCAAACTTGACTGATAGAATTCACTCTGCACCGGGCAAAGGACTAGACACATTTCACTGGTTACTGACTAGTGTCCAATCAATAACACTTTCTGTATTACGTAATTGTTACTCAGATACCTAAACTTTTAAACGTCCCATTATGTTGCTGTTTAAGTATGTTATATTCATATATGTATGTGATTGTACAGGCTGAGAACGATATCACTGGAAACAGTAACTCTTGTGTTATTTGGTGGATATTGACTACCACTGGAACCAATGATGCGTACTTCGTCCTATTAGGGACTTTTCATTGGTACTAGCTTTTTAAGTATCTAAGTGGATGACGTTTTAGCGTTTAAGACGATGGCTGTCGAGTTCAAGTCACAGTGGAGACGACATCACTCACTGATAGCGCAGATACATCCAGATGACGAGTCCAAAATAAGGACGAAATACCTATCCTAAAATCCATTATGATATCATTGTTAATCCTCAGACATCGGCTCCTAGTAGTACGGATACTTCGACGATATGTCAGCAAGGACTAAACATTTCGTGCCAATAAATAACCGATCAACAGGAAATATAAAATTAAAACTAAGCAAAGAGGAACTCTCTGATGAATAAATTTATTCTTCATGCACATATACACACGCAGACAAGCACAAACTGAGTTACATTTTTTCGTAAATTTCAAGCATATTGATAGGTCATGACAAAAACAATAGCAACAACAACAGAGAAGGACAGTATACATCAAAAGCTCAAGTGAAGGCGAATTTTCAAACTGTATTCATAGATGTGAGAAGAAGAATTAAAATCAAATCACACTTTCATTACTCAACCCCTCTGCAGCCTCCATGTCGTGTATAACTTTTCCAAGTGAAAACAAGCTACTTATTAAGGTATATAAGTAGTTTATCTTTTTACGATAAAAAATACACATGATTAATCGAAGTGTTATTCTGGGAAAATAATTTACTAGAAAAATAAATATGAATAGCGAATAGAATATGCTTTTGTTTCAGAAAATACTTAAACGTACATTACATATAGTGAAATCTATAATCTTTGGTTTGGAACAATGACATGACTGAGGGAAAAAGAAACATCAAATGGGGGAGACATTCAAACCTTGCATCTACTCAAATAAGAACTGATGACACGAAAACACCTCTTTAGTAGGCCAAAACAATGGTGTACATATATAATCGATCAAAAATTGAATATTTAAATATAATCTCTAACACTGTTTAAATTTATCTCATATATTAAAGGTGTTCAATAGAAAGTGCTTTTTGTTTAAATGGATTAAATATGACGTTAAACAGTGGAAGTTGTATTTGCGCCATTTTTGAATTTAAAGAATAGTACTTGTTGAAAATAAGCAAAAATATGAATGAATGTTTATGTTTATATATACAAAATAATAACAAGATGTTTAAAAATTTTGCTTTCTAGATGACAGCAGTTTCTGTCCTGCAGGCTGCATAATTAGCGATTTTTGTTAAATAATCATTGAACAGATTCTAGTATTGAATATATCAGTTAAACCTTCACCAGAAGGTCACTGTGATAAAAAGATAAAGATGGCGATAATAAGTGAGTAAAAAGAAGCTCTTATTAAGAAAGCACAAAAAACATTCACAAAAGCATAAAATACCTGGAAATTAATCGGTGTTTTCATGATCATTACTAGCATAGAAGTGGATGACAGTGGTTATTAGTATATGAACACACAGTGAATATTAAAAGAAAATTATGAATACAGATTGTAATATGAATGGTCTAATTGATAAAGGCATTTTCTTGTTGTTGTTGGTTCTTCCCTCAAATTTTGTATGTGCGCGCATATTCGTAACCATATATTTAAGCGAATTGATTCATTCAAACAAATTTATCAATGTTTAATTAAAACTTCACTGTCTACATTTAAATAATGAAATAATACACCGAAAGATAGTAAATTTTGGTTAGTAGATAAGAGGCAGTAAAGACGAATGTGTAAAGTAGTTTAGACAAGATGAATGAAACAAAATGGCTGACGCATTTAACTTGGTAGTTGATTTATACATCGATTTTTAGGCGAACCAAAGATACTTATACTCGCATAATCTAGATATCAGGAGAAGTGATAGTAAGATAGATTATTTTTTAAGGAAGATTTACAGAATAGGTAGTTTATCGTCGACATTGGTGCTTCTTTGAGAAAAAATAGAGGCAACAGGATTACTGACAAATACACAGACACAGCAGCATTAATGGATTTGCGATGAACAAGCAATCTATTATATAATAAACGATATGCACATATATATTCTGAATAATAAAATAACAGGTATACACAAAACGTTGAAGAGGAAACACAGTGAAAAGGCAGATTTTATATCCGTAGGTCGATGAATAACACATTCAGACTATATTGATTATCGCCAGCACTTATGAAGTATGGGATATCATTGATTGTTACAACCAGTTACGATTCTGTAGTTGTTGAGGTTAGTTCCTCTGGAAAAGTGAATAAAATAGGAAATAGAAAGATGAGGTTATAAACTGGACAATGCTTTTTATGAATAAATGACGCACAAACTCAAAATTTCTAGTGAATCGATGACACGTGTTTCGTCCCATTTAGGACTCGTCATATGGATTTACCTGATGATGTTCTCGTTGAGACTCGAGTTCAATATTTAGCGTTTAAGACATGCGTTTGGCAAAATAATGTCATGTCAACCTCAAGGGATTATCGAATCGTTGGTATAAGGAAATGTGTTGCATCTTGAATCATAGTCTTCCTTGTCGAATAAATGTCAGTCGACAATGAATTCAACTGGAAAAGGGTTAGCAGTGGTCAAACCGAGACCTGACATCAGTCCGTGAAGACTTCAACAGCTGGTTTGAGACATGTAGCGAGGTCTAGGCTGCTTGGTTGGGGTTGTTGGGATGCAAAGGATTAATGCCTTAAGACTATTGGAAATATGGCTCAGAAGCGTTCGCAGTGCAGCAGATGCTCTCTTTTCAATCTCCCATATCTGCTATACTGTCACGTTTTTTCCACATTACTGTTCTTTCTCCCTAACATTTCTATTTTTTAATTTTTTTATTATAGATGACGCCACACAGTATTTTTGATACAAGTATGGAATTTTCAGCATGTGATATCGGTAGCCTAAATTTAGCAGGCCGACCATTGATATCAGGTGTGCGTTGGGGGCACAGCGGTTTTCCCCTCTAATTTAGTAACTTTGATGTGTTGCATGGAGTGTGGTAATTTGAACTGTTGCGCTTTTGTGTAAAGTTTTGTGTTATAACTCAGTAAAACAGTCAACACACAGAGAACATTTCGGTTCAATGTTTTGAACAAATTAAAAATTTAAAAGTGAATTGACTTCAGAATAATGATTTTTAACTATTGGTTTTGTATGGATTTTGTTTCATTGGTTGGAGGATTTTATCATGAGCCGACACCAGCCAGAGAACCATTGGAAAACCAGCTGGGAGTATTGGACAGTTGTTTCGTCCCACTAGTGTAGGACTCTTCAGTAATACGCTGTTTTTTGTCTGCTGACAGCAGTGAATAACTCGACAGCACGTCAATATCATGTGTTTTTTATGTCTATAAGATGATTTATTATTTGACGTTGTGATACTTTGACTCCAGCCTAAAAAGAACTTAACCAGAACATTATTCAGCAGAGTAGAGTACGTAAAATTTATTTTGATGGTAAGACTGAATATGAAATAAAAAGAACTTAAAGTATATTTAATCTAATAACGTATCTCCTCAGAGATTCATTAATAAATACTCTACTCATGATAACATCCTTCAACCAATCAAACAAAATCCCTACAAAACCAATGCTTGAAAAAACATGACTTGATGCTCACTAGCCACTGGCCTTATTCAGACAGTTAACCTGGGGTTTCAATGTGAAGCCATGACCAGTAAGGTACAGCAGGTCGAAGAGGGGGCATTGACTCATCGAAGAAGACATGGCGAAGTGATAGCACTATGTCCTGAATTGGCAGAAGTTAGAATTCACCTGCTAGTCATTGGATCAGGTCCCAGTGGCTTAGTATTCTACGACCTCGCAAGACTTGTAACCACCGAAAGGTCCTGGGTTTGAACCCCAGTGGGGTGTGTGCGTACAGATGAAGAGTCCCAAACTAGTAGGACGAAACAGCTGTCTAGTATTCCCAACTAGTTTTAAAATGTTCAGCTCTTGGTGAAATCCTTCAACTAATGATTTTTGAGCTACTGATTCCAATATTCCACGATAACTTATTTATGCTCTCTGATAGGATATACCTTAATTGAGGTGGGAAAACATAAATATTTAACAGTTTTAAATTCGCTTGAAGAGTTGATCGATTAGTTGAATTTGTGGAAGTTTGATTAATTAGTCTCGAAATGACATCTGCTACAGAGAATCATTGGAAACTATGGAGTAATAGCCAGCTGTTTCATTCTAGCCCTGTATTCTTCAGAAGTACGCACAAATGACCTAACTAGATACCTAATCTCTCTGAATAATAGCACTGATTTCACACTGAAGTTGAAAATCCGGATATTATTTTCATTGATCTTCACACAGACTTGAGAGTAATGAAGTTTACCTTGCTTTCCCGATTCTCACTTTGATATCCTCATCAGTTCCATCCTCCTGTAGTTGAAACGATGCTTCCTAGGTAGGTAGGTAAAGGTGGTAGCTTCTTTCAGATTTCTCCCATTTATGCTGATTGTTGTCTGTTGTTGTTACTGCTATTGCTGTTGACCAGGAATCTTCATCACCTCTGTTTTCTCTATGTTCACCTGAAGTCCTATCTTGTCTGGGTGCTTCTTCTGTCGACTTGTTGCTTTTCACTCGCATATCCTCCAGTTTGTGGGAAATTAAACATATATGTTATTGGCGAAATCCAGATCCTACAAGTTTTTCTTTGTGTGCGTCCATTTTATGCCTGTATTCATTATAGTTCCCTGGAATTTCTTTTCTATACCACTGTGTACTACATGGATTGTGACAACTTGAACCGCCCTCATTTCAGCGCAAAAACTTATACTGAAAGTCAGTCAGTCAGACTATTATGCACACACATGGTCCGGGTTCAACTTTCCGACAGACAGACGCACTCCTAGCAAGTCTGGAAAACGGGCGAAGGCTTGGTAGGAAGTTAGCAACCTCACATCCCATAAAAACAACAACACCACAGCTATGGGAACTTTAGATCGTGAGAGTGAAACTCTGTGTCCTGCTCAGAATGTTCAAGGATATGAGAAACATAGACAGGAAATATATCGGATAAACCTATCTATTATATGGTTAAATATTTGGCCACAATACCCATATTCTCTTCTAATTTACTAATTACACCCATATATATATATAAATTACAATAGGCAATCTCTCTCTTCTTTTGAAACAGAAAAGAGCACACGAAAATACAGGGGTTTTAAAATGCCAGAAATCACGCAATACTTTGCAATTAAAAGAAACACGTCTATTATATCTTCAGTGGGATGGATATTCAGTATATTGCGTGTAACGGTTTATTTAGCTATAGAATAAATAAATGAATAGTGCTTGCATTATGAATAATAATAATAAAAATAATTAACCAAAAAGAAGTACAATGAATACAATTCAAATTCAGTTTAATTTTTCCTGAATTAAAATAAATAAATAAATAAATTTTGAAAAGAATACACACACTATTTTTTTATAAAATGAAATGGTTTTAAATGCTTATTTCAATTTGATACGGATGAACAAAGAGATAATATGGTGGAATTTATGTCTTTTTCATAGTCAAATTGTTAACTAGTGTTATTGGTGTTAGATGGTTGGAGGCAATCAGCCAAAGGAAGCCTTGTCTCACCTAGGTTTCGTGCTAGTTGGCACTCAACACAGTCAGTCATCAAGGTGTATTTGCAACCACCTTGAAGGAACTCATATCCCTTCTGAGATTCGAAACCACGTCACCGAGTGAGAGCTGCAGACAGAGACATTACCAACACTGAGCTATTTGGGCTAGCAATTGACATCCTGTAGGACTGTATTTGATACTTTTGATTGGTCACTAGTTACAGTCCTACAGGGGGTCAGTCGTGAGTCAGCCCCAATAGCTCAGTGGTGGTAACGTCTCTGACTGCATCACTCACTGGGTGACGCGGGTCCAAACCTCAGAAGGGAAATGAGTTCCTTCACCGTCGTAGATACGCCCTGCTGACTGACTGGTGAGTGCAAACTGGCACGAAACCGAGGTTAGACAAGCCTTCTTTTGGCTGATCGTCTCCAACCATCTAATACCAACAATTCAAAGTGTATCTTGATGACAAGCCACCTAGTAACATATGGCCACATTGCCAACGTGACTGATAGAAATTCAGTCTGCACCAAACAGAGGACTAGACACATCACACTAGTTACTAAGTAGTGTCCAATCAAAAGTATCTAATGTTATTATTTTTGATTGTCGTTGTTTGAGAACACCTATCAACAGTTCGATATTAGACCATACGATCCTCCAAACAGGCTATAAAGGTAGTACTGACGAATTTTTTATCTGTCGTCTATTGGGAACTGAATAAATCGTCGAAGGTGTCTAAATACCAAATACTCCGAACAGCAGAAGGCATAGCAGTTGACCTGAAACAATTTATCGTATTGAAGTCAGTGTGGCGTTTTCAACAGGCTACAACAGAATCTCATCAGTAGAGCAGACAGGATCACCGATAAGGATCTCTGACAGAGAAATAACCAAGAACCTTTGTCTAATAAATATGTTCGAGGAAATGGAAATGGATTGGAGATACACTTTGGAAACTGTTGAGTGACATCACATGCCAGACCTTCAAGTGGGACCCGAATGGGTAGCAGCCGATGAGTTGGGCATTGGAGAGTGACACTGAACAGATCGTGTGAAGGAAAAATGAAAGCTTACGGGCAATTGTGGAGCCATCTGAAGAGGGCCACAGAGAACGGAATGAAATATCGATATGTTACTGAAGGCTTATGTTCCACTCAAAACCCAAGGGTATACTAATAATGTAATAACTAGCCAACTGACACTAGTTCTACATCACATCGTAGAGTCACTAAAAGCGTTCACCCGAGCAACAGAAACTTCTCCGTAATTTCATCTTCTTAAGGGCTACTGGTGACATTTATCTCTAAGTGAACAGAAATCAATACCATTTGATGTCTACTGTATGTTTCTGTAAAATATGTTCTTGTAACGATTTGGCGACTACTTCGCTACTATGGGGTGCCACCGACAATTATACATCTCATCCAACAGCTGTACGACAATGCTGCATGCCAAGTAATCCACAACGGGAAGCTTACGGAACCCTTCGAATTGAGGACAGGAGTAAGACAAGGCTGCCTACTATCGCCAATGATTTTCTTGATTGCAGTAGACTGGATAATGCGAAAAACAGCGGGCAGTGGGGAAATAGGCATAAAATGGACCCACACAAACAAACGTGGAGGATCTGGACTTCGTTGACTATAAATGTCTGATTTCCCAAAAACGGGAAGATATACAAATGAAAAGCAACAAGTTGGCAGAAGAAGCATCCAGAGGAGATAGGATTTCAGGTGAACATTGAGAAAAAAGAGGTAATGGTGAGGATTCCTGATCACCAGCAACAGCAACAACAACAGACAACAATCAGCATTAATAGGAGAAATCTGAAAGAAGCAATCTCCTTCACCTACCTACCTATCTACCTACCTGGGAAGCATCGTTTCAACTACAGGCAGCCGGAAGTGATGAGGATGTCAAAGGAAGAATCGGAAAAGCAAGACAAGCTTTCATTACTCTCAAGTCTGTGTAGAGGTCAACAGCAATCAACATGAAAATGAAAATAATATCCGGATTTTTAACTCCAATGTGAAGTCAGTGCTACTATACGGATCAGAGACTGGCACTGCGCGTCATAAAGAGCACCTCAAACAAACTACAGACCTTCATTTACAGTTGTCTTCGCTCAATACTCAAGATCAGATGGCCAGCCAGAAAAGATCAGCAACAGGGATCTCTGGGAACCGATTGTGTAACAAATAGACAGGAAGAAATGGAGATGGATTGGCCATACTGTGAGGAAACAATCAAGTGACATCACTAGACAAGCCATTGCTCGAGTGGAACCCGGAAGGGAAGCGGCGAGTTGGTCGTCAGTGCAAGGGTGACATGAAGGAGGAGGTCATGTGAAGAGGAAATAAAAACGTGTGGGCAGACTTGGAACTAGGTGAAGACTCTAGCAGAGAACCGAATGCAATGGAGAAGTGCGGCTGAAGCCCTGTGTTCCTCTAGGAATTAAAGGAAATAATAATAATACCGATAAAGTAATGATAGAACATATATGCAGACAGGAGTTTTCTTATATCAAGACATGTTAATGTTTTCCCCAATCATATGACAAAAGACAGAAAAATAGCAATACGACTGGGTCTACACTGGAAACTACTACTGAAAAGTCATAAACATGGGGGTTCACCAAGTTGGGTAAGAGGACAGTTAGTCGCCTGTAACGCTGACTGGTGGTTGTACTGAATAAACATCATGAATTGGTAGAAATCGGAACTCATGGGCCACTGGGTCAGGTCCCAGTGGTTGAATGATGTACGAGTTCGTCTCGAAACGAAGTCCTGGGTTCGAACCTCGGTGGATGAGTCACAAGCTGTGACAAAATGCTTTCAGTACTCCCAGGCTGGTTTTCCAATGGTTCTCTAACTGATATCAACATATGACCAATCCTGTAAGCGATGAACTGTAGATAAACCCAACTTATAGTGATTAAAATCTTTCCCTTCTTTAAAGAAGTTAGGAGTCAACTGACAAGAAGTACTGGATATCGGTGACCCTTTTGTTGACAGTCATCAAAAATGTATATCCATCATACTCTCGATGGTGTCGTCTTCAGAATTCCGATATGTCAACATGAAGAACGTTTCCAATAAGTTATTCAGAACATGGATGATAGTCTGAGTCCCTCATATTCACAACATAACAACATGTTGTCATGACTGTTTTTTAGTTCTTAGTAACTTAAAACTCTCAATCGTGTTTTTTTCTTTCTTGACCTCAAATCTTGATTTACTGGGTGATGATTGATGGTGGAATGAAAATCCGGATCGTGGGTAGGTACGAGCCTACGGCCTCTAAATTACCAACCTGCCAAATGGTAATCAGGTTATGATGGTCTGTGAACGGAAGACTCTTTCAGATAACTGCATTATGGATAAGATTTTATTTTGATAAATCATACAGTGTGTTTGTTATACAGTAATATTTACTGATGGCCATGTTGCGAGCACAATTTATTACCAGTCATAATCATATCAAGGCACTACTCACACAACGTTTTCCTTCATTTATATACATGTGTGGAATTGACTAGATATTTGAATAAAAATCAATATGGGATAATGTACATTCAGAAATAATAATAATATGAGTACTATTGAGCAATTACAATCAGATTGAAAATAAGACGAGTGTTTATACAGTCATAATAAGTAACTTGTTAGAATGTTATAATTTGCGTGAATTGAAATAGAATTTTAAGATTATTTATTATCCTCCTCTGATTTAACTGACTGGTGGTAATAATATATTCCATATCTCTGGTACTTTCATTGAATCATTTCTGTTGCATGTGTTGGGTGTGTAGACTCAATGAACAAGGATTCAGTAATCAACCTCTCTCTCTACACCTACATAGATTACTTCTTAGAATCTTAACCCTCTCCCACCATGTTGTTGTGTGGTTGTATGTTAATGCATGTAGTGCAATTGCTGAGCTTTTTTCTAAATTACTTATCTTCTTGGAGTCAATCATTCTTACCTTAGCTAAATTCTTATGTTCCGACAATCAAATTACCTACGACCTACTAGTTTGACCTATGTAGTTCACTTAACTCAGCTCACAGTCATTGCAGGGTATTTTGTAAATTATATTATTTTGTTTAATTGGGTCCACCGGGTCTTTAAGCCTACAGAGCTTATCTCTGAATGAGTTTGTAGGTTTGAATGCCACCCTATTTCCTCCTTTATATGGTATAACTGTAGATGACTTATATTCTCTCTTATTTATGTTATTATTACTAGTTTCACAATTCTTTTTACTTTTCTTTTGGCGTTTTTCAATCTTCCTAATGAATTTTAGAGGATAGTTATTTAAAACCAACGCCTCTTCTATCTGTTTTATTTCATCATTTAGGTCTTTTCTTGTGCTACTCAGTGCTACTGCTTGGTTTGTTGAACATTTAACTAAGCCTCCCTTTACAGATAACTACGGATGAGATGAGTGAAAGTCTAAATATCTATCAGAATGCGTTGGTTTTCTATAAACGCTAGTGTGTAGCTTACCTTCTTCTATTCGTCTTATTTTACAATCTAACATCATGGCTAATTCTCCTTGTTCATTTTCCGATTCAAATGTGAATTTTATTCCCTTTAGTACTAGTGAGTTTATATGTGTCAAGATGCTAGAGAGAGATATGTTCTGTTTTTAATACTGTGAAAGTGTCATCTACATATCTCCACCATATTTTTGGAGTAGGATTAAATGTATTAAGAGCCATATTTTCCCAGCTGTCCATAAATATATCTGCTACAATAGGGGATATTTGTGATCCCATTGCTACACCTTCAGTTTGTCTATATATTTTGCCTTGGAATTTAAAGATAGTAGATGTGAGGCATAACTGAATTCCTAAAATAATTTCTTCAGTGGGCAGCTGTGTCCTATGGGTGAGTTCAGGATCCGCAGTTGGTCATTTTTCAACTGCTTCTAAGGCCATACTGACAAATATAAAAGCATCCCCATTTTCTTTGCCATATTTGTCTAGCAACAGGTTTATTCAAATATCTAGTCAATTCCATACATATATATAAATGAAGGAAAAAAGTTGTGTGAGTAACTTGATATGATTAGAAGCAAAAGTTCGTGCTCGAAACATCAGCAGTTAGTGTTACTGTATAACACTGTGTAATTTATCAAAATAAAATCTTATCCATAATAAAGTTTTACTTTCCTGGAGTGCTCATATTATTATACTTATATCAACTCTTTCAGGTAGTCTGACCGTCAAATCTTGGTCAAAAGATATGTATAAATCATTCATATGAAGTAATTCGTGAACCCGAATAGCTTAATGGTAACGTTCCACACCAGTTCCTTGAAAAGTGCAGATACGCCTTGCTGGAGTATACCGACAAACACGCAAATCGAGAACCAAGTCTGTGCTTCCTACAGATTGGCTTCAACAATCTAACTACATATACTGGTTTAACCAACAACCCTTAAAAGTCTTATTCAACAGTACTATCTTCCTTTTGTTTCTTCTTTTTCAAAGTGAAACAGTTTGAATATCGATCACTCACTCCCTTTATAAACAAATACAAATCTGATGCTCACTGGCGACTGGCCCTATTCAGGTAGGCAGTTACCTAGGGTTCTAGTGGGAAGCCATCACCAGTAGGGTACAGTAGGTTGAACGTGAAGCTATAACTCATAGAAGAAGACATTGCGAAGTTGTCGCGCTTCGCCATGAATTGGCAGAAGTTAGAATTCATGCTCTGGTTGCCGAGTTCGCTAGCCTTGTAGCCAGAATGTTCTGAGTTAGAACACCAATGAGTGCGCTATGGTGAATAGTCCCAAACGGGGCTGACGAAAGAACTGTCGAGTACTCCCAGATGGTTTTCCAATGGTTCTCTAACTGATGTTATCTCATGATGCAACCCTCCAACCAATCAAATATAAACTCATATGACTTACTACTCCTCTTTATATCATACCTGTTTGTTGTCCCAGGGTCAAAGATGCCATATTCCTATTGGTATTGTTGCTTCCATCATTATTACTGTTATTGCTGTTATTCTTATTACTTTGAAATCGTTGTATTTCTTCCCAGATAAGAACTTTCAACTTCTCCTTTGGATAATTATCTGTTTCTTGTACAAATGGATGTTCGAATACTGGCTAAAAAAACGAAGAAAGAAAGAAAGAAAGAAGGTTTGTCACTAATGCATGATGCATAAAACAATGGAACAAAAGCTGTGATTATACTATTGAGATTGATGAGATTAATGACAAGGAAGAGTAATTAGAATAAAGCAAATCACTTACACTATACGCTGTTGACAAATGAGCATGGATGTGTGCGTGTGTGTGTTTATTGAAGAGGTTGGGTAATCAATTCATTCGAAAATAATAACAAGAATAAAAGAAATAGGGTAAAATGTCACTAATAAAGAATCTGAAGCCTCAATTATATATATATATTATTCCCTTGCGTTCCAAGTGGAAGTTAGGGTTTCAATTACACATCTCCACTTTGTGCTGTTTTTCGCCGTCCTCTTCAGCTGGATCCTCGAATGACCGAATTACCTCCTCTCTTCCTCACACAATCTCCTCCATGTCACTCTAGGACGACCCACACGTTGCCACTTCCCATTGGGATACCACTCGAGCCATGGCCTGCATTGCACGCGATGTCATTCGGCGGCCACCTCTATGTATGCCCGATCAGTCTATCTCCACTTTCTCCTACATATTTTTTGAGCGATCGGCTCTTGGTTAGTTTGTTCCCACAGTTTCTTGTTGCTTATTCTTCCTGGCCATTTGATCTTCAGTATGGAGCCAGCCAGTGAAGGTGGCAGCTGTTGATGAAGGTCTTCTGTGACCTGTTGGAAATGCTTTCCGCAACTGACACGCAGTGAAATTTTCTGTATAGGAGAATTAATTGGCCAAACGTTGGTGTTGAAAATGCTAATCTTGTTCCTTATGCTGAGTACGGAAGATTTTCAAACTGGATTCATGTTGATGAAGGTGTATCTTGGCTTTCCATTTCTGTCTGACTTTGACGTCTTCATTCATGCTGTCGCCTGTGGTTGAAATAATGCTTCCCAGATAAGCAAAGGAAGTAACCTCTTTCATGTTTCTCCCGTTCATGGTGATTAGTGCTGGTTGTTGTTATTACTCTTGGTCGACTAGTTGTCTTCATCACCAACGCCTTCGCTGTGTTCACCTGGAGTTCTGTCTTGGATGCCTGCCTCACCTCTTTTGCCAGTTTGTTGGCTTTCACGTGCCTGCAAGTCTTCGAGTTTGTGTGAAATTAGACATATATCATCCGTGCGCGAAATCCAGATCTTCTAGAGTTTTCTTGTCGGTCATCCAGCGTATTACTGACTCCTCGCCCCAAACAGTCAGACGCAGAATTCAGCCCACCACAACTAAGAATATCATCGGTGATAATAGCCAGCCAGTATTGTCTTACTCCTGTACGCACTCCGAAAGCCTCGCTGAATTTCCTACTGTGGGTCACTTGGTACGTGGTATTGTCACATAGCCAGCTGTTGAATGAGGTTGACAAAGAATTGAGGTATGCCGTAGTGTTGAGATAGTTTCCAAATTACGTCTCGGTCAATGCTGTCTGTCGAAGGCCTTTTCGAAGTCGATGAAGTTGAGGTAAAGACAGGTTTGACTGCCATTCTATGCTTTGTTCTGTGATGACGATGATGCGTAGAGTTGTAATTTGATCAGCACATGATTTGCCTTTCCTGAATCCAGCTTGTTCTGGTCGGTGAGGGAGTTTTGTATCCAGTGCATCCTTTATTCTCTCCAGGATGATGCGACTTAGTATTTTACTTGGCGTGGACAAGAGCATTATTTAACACCAGTTCTTGCAGAGTGAGGCATAAGTTTCCCTTCTTCGGCAGCTTTGCCAGGTAGCCAGCCCTTCTTCCAGTCAGTACGCAGCTTTCTTTGTTTCCAAACATTTTGCCTCAATAGTACAGGCAGTTGGAACGGACGAAGATTTCAAAACCAAACAGACAGAATCGGAAAGGTAAGATACGCCTTAATCATTTTGAAGCCAATTTGAAATCTTCTCCACTCAACATAAGGAACAAGATTCGGATTTTCAACATCAGTGTCAAGTTGGTCAGGGCTTCTATGCGGGTCAGATAAATGCACAGCGTGATGGAGAAGGTTTGTAGCTCAAATGGATGACTTTGATGTGGTTGTGTTCTATCCAGCTCAGAGAACACAACCAAATCAAAATGCACTGCGTGTCAGTTACGAAAAGGATTCCAACAGCCAGTTTCGGACTTTCATCAACAGCTGCCACCTTCGCTGGCTGGCTCCATGCTGAAGATCGAATGGCCGTCCAGCGGGAAAGAATTAGCGAGAAGGAACTCTGGCCCGTAAAAAAACCAACAGGCGAGAGCCGATCGCTCAACAAGTGGAGATGGATCGGGCATACATTGAGGAGGCTGCGGAATGACATCGCACACCAAGTGCTGGAGTGGAATCCAAATGGGAAGCGGCGACGAGTGTGCCGTCAGTGTGAGGGTGACATGGAGGAGATCGTGTGAGGAAGAGATGAGAGAGTTTAGTGCATCGTGGGGCTAACCAGCTGAAGAGGACGGCAGAAAACAGAACAAAGTGGAGATATGTTACTGAAGCCAGTCCTATGTTCCTCTCGGAAAGCTAGGGAATAATAATAATAATAAAATAATTGTACTCAGAAACTAATTATCAAAATGAGGACATTGAGAGAAGCTCTTTAATTCTTCAAATAGCCCAAATTTTTAATATTAGAGGTATAATTTGTCATATATACATATATTTCTTTTAGAGACATCATTGTTGTGGAACAAAATAATAAAGAGTATGTATATATGAAACAGGAAGCCAAATGTTCCCATGAACGATGATCCCATTTAAAATGCATGAACTCCATTTTTGGTTGCGTGTAATAGAACAATTAATTTGATATTAACAATAATAATAGCAGTAATAGTAAAATTACTGGCTTTCAGTACAAAAATATCTATAGACTATTTGATCATCTGTAGGAGTCTGTCTGTATTTAAACTGGATAACAAAAAAGGAGAAATGATCACGTTAGGGAAATTAGACATCAGATTTTACAATTACGAGATGGAATTATTCAAGGAAGTGGGAAGAAGGTGAGATGAGATGAGATAGACAACAGCATATCTAATCTCTACTAAGCCAATTCTTTCCTGACTATATTGAAAAGGCAAAAGAACATTAGATCTATCAATGTGGCTTTCAGTGAAGTGGAACAATAGTGTTGTGGGGGTTGTTAACACATGGCCTATTCTTAACGCCTTACCTACAGTGACTTACTCTCTGATCGCTTCAGGATGAACGAGTCATATTCAGTCAAACTATGTCTTAAGATTGATCATAGGATGATGTCAGTTAGAGAACCAGAGAAAAACATGGAGTATTGGACAGCTGTTTCGTCCTAGTTTGGGACTCTTTAGCAATACTAACCCACGACTTCACTGGAGATCGAATTCAGGTCCTTCAGGTTACTAGGGCAAGCTTGGTGACCAGTCAGCCATTTAAGGCGGAATACAGTAGCTAGGGATTTCTAACTTCTGTCAAACCGGGATTTTAGCGCTTCACCTTCTCTCAGCCATTATCATTTCCAAGGGTTAATTTGGAGGTATGTGATATATTTTGGCTTTTTTTCCACTAATATTTACAGAATCAGGTGTTTAACAATTGATAATTGAAATCATTTGTATTATAAAGCTGTTATATTTCATAAATTAAAGTGACTGGACAGTAAGCTAGGCGAATCCAACTCACGTCTTCTCAAATGAGACGTTTTATTAAAATAACTAAGATTAAGTTGTACAAAAATCTAAAGATAAGAATATACGACATCAGTAAGCTTTAGTTTGACCTCAACAGTAGAAGTATAATTTTTCTTGTGAGGTATTTGAATTTGTCATTTTAGAGTATAATTTTTATTATTCCCCTGAGTTCCGAGTGAAACATAGGGTTTCAACAACACATCTCCACTTCGTCCTATCTTTTGCCATCCTCTTCAATTTGGACTACGATTGCCTACAGTATCTCATCTCCTCCTCCTCCTCAGCGCCACACGATCTCCTCCATGTCACCCTCACACTGACGACACACTTATCGCCACTTCCTATTGGGATTTCACTAGAGCGATGGCCTGTATTGTGCACGGTGTCATTCGGTGGCCTCCTCAATGTATGCCCAGTCCATCTCCGTTTTATCCTACATATTTGTCGAGCAATCCTCTCTTGATTGATTTGCTGGCAGCCAGAGTTTCTTGTTGCTAATTCTTTCTGGCTGGCCAGCTGTCCATTTGATCTTCGGTATGGAACAAGCCGGAGACGGTGTCAGCTGTTGATAGATATCTGTAACTTGTTGGAAATCCTTTTCGTGACACGTGGTGCAAGTTTCTGAGTGGCCTAGAATCCCTGACCGACTTGATATTGATTTTGAAAATTCGAATCTTGCTCTTTATGCTGAAGGGTACAGCTAAGGACTCTTCATCATTACGCATGCATCGAGGTTCGAAGCCACAACTTTCTGGTTACAAGATGTGCTCCTAGAATATTAAGCCACTAATAGGGAGGTGATGAAGATAACCAACCAACAGCAACAGCAACAACAGACAGCACCAGTCATCATCAATGGCGGAGATTTGACAAAAGTTGCCTCCTTCACTTATCTAGGAAGCATCGTTTCAATTACAGTTGGGACGGATGAAAATGTCAAAGCCAGCCAATCAGAATCGGAAAGGCAAAATACGTCTTCATCAACGTGAAACCAGTTTGGAAATCTTCTCCAATCAAGAAAAGGAGCAAGATTCTAATTTTCAACACCAATGTTTGGTCAGTCACTTCTTCTGTATGTGTCAGAAACTTGCACCGCGTGTCACGAAAAGGATTTCCAACAAGTTACAGATATCTATCATTAGCTGACACATTCTCTGGCTCTATACCGAAGATCTAATGGAAAGCTGGCCAGCCAGAAAGAATTAGCAACAAGAAACTCTGGCTGCCAACAAACCAACCAATAGCGGATTGCTCAACAAATATGTAGGATAAAACGGAGATGGATTGGGCATACATTGAGGAAACCGTCGAAGGAGATCGTGTGACAAGGAGGAGGAAATGAGA